CCTTAACAAATAATAAATGGATAAAAAAACAACCAATGCAGGTTTTACAGTAACTAACTATCGATAAAGCATAGAGGTCTGTAGTTTTGCTATGAACTTAATCGGTCAGCGAATCACCGAAATTGTCTCTCTCTGTTTCTATTTAATCACTGTTTCCACGGTATTATTGTATGCAATACCACCGAGCATAAATGTATCGTTCGTCAATTACGTTGTGTCTATGTTCCTTAATAAGCGAGATCTAATTAAACCGACTTTCCAGAGGCCTGCTTTGCCCATGATCGTTTTTTATGGGCAATATTATGATAACGATCAAATGAAACTAGAGAATGTTCGTCTCGAAAAGACAAAAAAGTCAGATTATCATATGAAACATTTGTCCAGTTAAAAGATAGTTCAGAAAAAAAATCTTTTTTTTTTATCAATAACTTTTCTAATAGACAATGCGAATAAGTTAAAGACAACATAACAAGACTTGTTATTCGATGTAAATATAAATATTAATCAGTGGACTAAATAAAAAATTAGTCGAAAGTGTTGCTAAAATAAGAGTAAAAGAATTAAACAAGTGAATAGAAAAACTCATGGCATAGATAATAAAAATAAATAAAGCAATGAACGATAAATGAAGTAGATACAATCTAGAATTAATATTGATTTTATCGAACGACAATAATGAACAGATTTTTTTCAGCATCAAACAACAAAGATGTTCCATTGTATCTATTAAAAAGCATGTCTTATATTGAAAAAACTGAGAGGACATGATTAATTCGTATCTCTAGCAAATTCAAATTTCTACAAATCGTAAACAAATGATGTACACAACCTACGAAAAACTGCTTCGAATGTGTCGATAAAAACTAATTGCTGTTTATCTAGAAACTTAGCCTCTACGCTTTTTTCTCGAACGACTCATTTGAATTTTTTCATAGCCGTTCTATTGGAATACCTGGGAAATACGAAATCGCTTTGTCTGGCCTATGTCTCTCCGAGCCCGATAGAGAGCCTGGCGATTTTTTAGACTTCCATTCCTAAATAAAATGATTTCGTTCGATTTTATCTATATAAACATCATATTAAGCATTGCGATAATCGATCCCTGTAGTCAACTCAACATCAACCCTGTTGAATTTTACTAACAGAGAGTAAAGAGCTTATTAAATCAACGACGATCTTTGCTTTCCGTTCTGATCGAGTTTGCCTATTAAAAGTATTCAATTCTAATTTAATTAGTCGAAACAGTATATTTTTCATTAAAATAAAGCAAAATAAAAACTAGCTCATTTTTAGATCGATCAAAACACATGGTATTTTCATCGTAAATGTTAATATATAGACCTTATGTTTTGACCTGACTTATTAGAACTTTACAACAAAGATATTCATCTCAATATGGCAGATTTGTTGACAGCATATTGACAACGGTCGAAGTTTTTGATGGACACTTAAAATCTGCATACATTTACAGAGAATTTCAATATATACAGATTAAATACTCATACGGAATCTAATCAAAGAGTAAGAAGAGATCTAATTAAACATAGTCATAGAAATTAAAGTCGAATGTTTTTTGAAGCGACATATTTTCAGTGAGAATTGATCAATACCATAGCACTTGTTCATTGATACAGGGTGTCCCAAAAAAACTTACCCCCTTGATGTTTTTGACTTTTTTGTAAGCAAATCTATTTCAAATGTAAAACTATTTTATTTCAAAATCTATAAAGATCTATTATCATCAAGACATAGACGTTTCCCACCATTTTTTATTAACAAAGAAGTTCGTCGAACCATTGATGAACTGATGGATTGACACTTCTAAGACGAAAATGATTGCCAATTTTTTTTGATTTCTTTCTTTAGTTCGTTAATATTTGAGTATTTTGTATCAAGTAGCTTTTCATATATAATACCCCACACTGTTTCGATAGCCCACACATCATCAAATTTTGGACTTTGAACATCAACTGGCATTCTTTCACTAAATAAACCATCAATCTTCCGAAGCACCGCTGGTGTCTGATGAATCTTTGCTGCATCATCTTGAAAAATTGCTTCATGTTTTGGATATTTCTCCAGAATGAATGGATAAGCAATATTGCTAATCAAATCTGCATATCGAGCACCATTAATTGTTCTTTTCTTACCTTTCGGCCATTGGTATCGATCTAAAAATTCGTCGACAAATACGGGAACCTGTTTTGGAATTAAGTCATTCCAACTTATGCCACCCAAAAGCATGACACCAGAAGAAAACTTTTCACGACCATAATAGTCACCATGTGCATCAGCATCTCGTCGACTAGTAGATCAAATAATATCATTTTTGGTGTTGAGCTGTGGTGTCACACGAATGGGTTTAGAAAAATCAGTATTGACTAATCGTTACCATTTGAAATTCGATACTTTTAGATCGAGTTTTCAATGTCTTTTCAGCTAAAGAGCAATTCTTTTTCTTTTTATGATATGCTGTTCTGTGACCTTCGAAGTTGTTTGACGATGATATGGTTTAGCAAACGTTCGCAAATTACGATGAACAGTAGATTTTGATACATCCAACTTTGATGCAACCTTTCGAACCGAACGTCTTCTTTTGTTAAAAACATTGCTTTTCAATTCATTTAACAGTTGCTTGGATGATTCTGTTGCTGGACGACCAGAGCCGGGTCGACGAACTGCTGTTGTCCCAGTTTCATTAAATTTCTTGATTTGATATTTGATATTTTGTAGAAAAGACTTTTCGTTTGTATAATGTATATGTTGTCGTTCCAGCATCGATTTGATATCTGAGGGCGTGGATGTGGGTGTGGGTGCGGGTGCGACTCACAGTGAGCAGCCAGGCGACAAAATCTATTTTCGAGATTCGAACCCATATCATAGCTAGCATTGCAGCTACTATGGTCCTGCATTGAAATGCATATTGTATGCCAATCTATAGAGAGTATGTAGTAAATAGCAGATACCACAATGTACGTAAAATAGGTGAGTAACATTAATAGTACATATAAGTAGAATGTGTTTTTTAAATTTAGGATCTAGTAATATTCGTTAGTTATTATGTAGTTATACAGTATTAAGTATTTACTATATATCACAGACCGTTTGGACTTCTTGAAGCTCTTTAGGCTATAATAAGATCACAAACTTACCATAAGTATAGTGATAAATGACCACTGGCCCATAATGCAGTTTGTTTGGAGAATTTTACGAGACTTTAAATTCAAGTTTTAATTTATCATTAGATAGAACGTGTCATGATCTATCTTCAGTAAAAGCGCGAAGACACGGCATTGTACCCTTGTCGAGATCTTTGGTTTTCACGGCATTTTGTAGCATAGCACCGTGGTCCCCCTTAGGTTCACCTGGGAAATCAACTTTCGAATTTCGACTTGAGACTTTGCGCAAGAAAAGGTTTCAATGAGACTAGTTAATCCTGAAAGTTTCAAGTTTCTTGGTTGCTCCTATCCTTAAATATGAACATTTGAAATTTTGTGCTATAAATGATGTGAAAAAGAATCTTTGTTCTTGTACTCGTATCTCGAGATAGAAGAAACCCAAAAATCCAAAACTTTCAGAATAAACTAGTTTCATTAAGACCTTTTTCTGGGCAAAGTTTCAAGCCGAAATGCGAAAATTGATTTTTCAGTTGAATCTGAGGGAGACCACGGCTTTTTGCTAAAAAATGCCATAAAAATTAAATATCTCGACAGAAATAAGCTATAAGCATGAACTCTTTTCAGGATGTTCATAGCTCATTAGAGCCTACATAATGCACATAGTCTCGATTGAAGAGCGATTTCAAGTCTCTACCCCTATACTTCGACACTGCTTTGAGATCGTGTTTCACAAAACCTTTAACATCACACAACAGAGAATCGATTGCCTCATGGCAGCTTGATATATAAATGGAAGAAAACTGAGATTGAAAATGAATATATTGAAAGACACTTAAAGAAGAATTTTGAAATATTGGTTTTCACAAGCACAAGTACGCTTCAAATACTAGCATTTTCATCTATTTTATTGAGTATGTCAATAAATTCAAGTGACTATCATTTCAACGCAATTGAATCCGGTTAAAAAATTAAGAAGTTGAAAGCTATAACTACAGTTGGTAGTTATAATTATATGAGTTGGTTAAGTCGAGTTCGAATATGAATGGATAACGTACTGTTTATTACTACTTCGAAAATAAATGAAAAAAATGGCTTTCATGTCAAAATAGCAGAAAAGAAAAAAGATTAAATTTTTTATAAATTATAATTTATAAATTCGAAGGCTCATCCACCTCAAACTAGAAGAAAGCAAACCATAGAATTTATTCCGAATTATAAAGATGAATCTTAAGAAGACGTTTCTAATCTGAGATCCTAGAGTCGAAAACTGAGATGCTAAAAGTATCACCTGAGATTCCACAGATATCAGTCAGAATGATATTAGGATGTGGGTGTGGAATGTAGATGTGGCTGTGGTTGTGGTTGTAAAGTGTGGGTGTGGATCTTATGTTCATCTACACCTACATCCATACCCACATCAACATCCGCACCCTCTCTGTTTTCTGTTTATGAATACAACCATACACGCGCAACCATATGCTACACGTGAACGCACTCACACTCACCAATATCTGCACATGCAGAAATCGTTCGAAATATTCAGCTTTCAGTACAATAATTATCCAGCAGAAAGCAATGTAGGAACTGAGGGAATTCGGCCGTAAAAGAGGGGTTTTGTGGTTCCTCGCTAGTTCTGTGCTCCTAAATCATCGAACTGGATATGCTCGTATCGAACACTCTCTTTTATATGGCAGAGGCTGAATATCATTTTAATGTAATGAAAAAAGTTGTGTACGTGAAATTTTAGATGCCTTATCGCAACCGAAAAAGTGTATGCATGTCAAAGTGTGTAGCTTATCTCAACCCATATGAGTTTTTTTTGCTTCGCAATGATAATTTACATTTTTTCTTCTTAATAGAAACTCTGTATGATTAGATAGTATGACTTGCAGTTCTCGAATACTATTACCATTTGCATTATGGCCTGAAAATCCACCATCATTATCAATATCGTCATTATTTATAAATTTAGCAAGTGATGATCTTATAACGGGCACCAATGATGGTTTTATCGTTTGTTGGAAAATTGTACCTGATCATCAAAAAGTAGATAAAAATTCTTTATACTTGTCTTCTGTAAACCGGAAATTTCTTTTTTTCTTTTTGTTTAGATTATTCCAAGGTTAATGTTAATTGGTCATACAGATCAAGTTTCATTCATAGTCGCTTCAATGTCAAAACATAAACTCGAATACTTTGTTAGTATTTCAGATAATGATGGGTATGTAATGATGAGTTTATTTTATTCTCTAACATTATTTTCGAAATTTTTGAAGTGAAATTAAATTATGGAATAATGAAGATGGTCGTTGTATTGAACATATAGGAACTAATCTTAAACATCGCTGTGTGCAGGTAAATGAAATTATTTTTTTTTGTGTTTTTGAATATTCTTTATCATAATTTGCAGTGTTTCTATTATCAATTAACAAATGAAAGTTTCCTTATATGTTCTGGTTGTTATTCAGAAATACTTATCTATGATATGTGTACACTTGAAATTAAATTTACTCTTACAACATCAAATGTTAATGCAGATTGGATATCAACATTTTTTGTTTTCCAAAAAATAAATGTTCCAGGTTCATTTCAAATAATTATAAATAAATATTTATTTATTTTTCATAGAAAATATCATGGTTATTGGATTACTTGATGGTGGTTGTGTTAAATCATGGACATTTGATCCTCGTACAGCCACTTCATATGTAAAAATAAACATTTGGTTTTTGATAAATTGAATTTTTGAAACATAAAAATATTTTTCAGACAGTTATTGAAAGTACAAATATAGGAAATAATAATAATAATATTCTACCAATTGATATTAAAGAACATGAAAGTAAAGAAATTCGAACATCATTTGGTTCAATTATTGTACCTTGTGATGAATGCCAAAGAATGATACTTATTGTTCATTGCCATGGTTGGCAAGTAAGTGATGATTTTTGTTGTAAACTATAATGAATTAGTTTTTAGATATTTGATGGAATTGATTTTACAGAAGTATGTTCATATACAACGAATGAAAAGGATATTGTCAAAAAAGAACATTGGATAAATGGATATTTCCCAACATCAGGTTTAGTTATCCTCTTTTCTGCTCGAGGTTACGGACATATATTTCGTCTTCCAGAAAAGTAATTTACTTGAAATTTTTGAAGTATTTCTATTTTTACTTTAAAAATTTTTTTTCTAGTGCAATATTTCTGAATCCAAAATACCGTTCACTACATAATAAAACTGATATGCAATTACCGCAATGGCTATGTAGATTAAGTGTTGGAAATGAATTAGTAAGATTTTCTAATTTTTATTCGATATAATTCAGTGGATTAGAAATCTATATAACGAATTGCTTTTTTGATACTGAAATAAAACTATTCGGAATAGTTGGCAAAAAAAAGTTTCTTTGAAATCACAGGACACAGTAGAGGGTATAGATTTGCTATAGCTATTGGTCAGGATGAAAAGTAGTATACCATACTATCAATAAAAACTTTAAAAAAATCTGATACTACAGTTTGTATGAATTTCAACATTTAATGAATCCTGATTATTAGTTGTTTATATAATGTATATGAACAATGAGAGTAATGATAAGAGATACAATGACATATTCGCAATGTCTTGATTTCCCAGCATACAAAGTGAACTCCATCGTTTCTAACTGATGCTGAAAGATTCTCAGTTCTTAGCTCATTTGTTTTTACAGAATAGCTTCAACTTTTATACTATGCAAAAAAAAATCACTAATAGAACGTATGCAATACAGGATATTATAGTTGAGAATAATGTCTTTTAGTCACGTGTTGAACCAAAAAGTTCAAAACATGGTGCTTTAAATTAAGAAAAAGCATATAGTTCTCTTATTCTAAACAAAATAATAACCATAGTCTTTGTTTCTTCACAGATTGACATACTTTAGCAGTGATGCATGAAAATATATGTCACACGATGTTACCAATATCTTAAAAACTTTCTCTTGTATGAAATTCAAAAGAGAGCTCTGAATTAGTTTCAAGAATGCACCGCATTGACCAAGATTTGAACTGGAATCAATGATAGAAGGGTAGCGGATCGAGTAATTGTTTTTTAAGAATGTTTTTCCTCTTCACTCGAAGCACTCCTGATTTGCTTTTCCTGAATAATTAGAAATAAACATAAATTGATTATTTGTAGCAACTTGCTCGAACATCTATTTATTCTTGTCATACAATATTAAACCACTGTCAAATTTATCGAGCTGATTCTTCTGGTCAAATATCTGTTTGGCATATAAATCTAAAAGAATTGTCAACAAATACTGGTAACATCGAATCATTCTTTTATCTCAATATCATAATAATGTTGTTTATTCTTTTCTAATAGATCTTCTTCCAATAAGTTCAATTTCTTATCAAAATGTTTGGTCACATGCATTAACGAATATTCGTACAATACGAACAATTTTCAATAAAGTATATTATTCAATTAATTTTGTTATTGAAATATAACTATTCATTTAGATATTACCAAATAAAATCAATAAATTAACTGCATCATATCACTTAATAACCATGGATCGTCTTGCATTTGGTACTGATAATGGGAAAATTTATATTATACCAGCATTAAAACTTATTTCGAGTCTTTTTTTAAATAATGATCAACATGAAGAAAATTTTGGTATTGAATTTTCATGCTTTCTTTTTGTCATTTGTTTCTAATCAGAACTAAATACAACATAATATCTTTAGATATTCAAACACTTGTTGGTCATAAACAACTAATAACATGTTTAGTTCATCCACATAGTGAATATTCACATTATGATATTCAACATTTAGTTAGCGGTAGTTTGGATCATTCAATACGTTTATGGGATTTATCAACAAATACACAGTTGCATGTGTTTACTGAACATTTCGGTTCAATTCTTATGCTTCACGTTCCACCACCTATGCTTAATGTAAAAAAAGAAAATATTAATTCATTTTTTCTTCAATTAATTTGACTTTCAAATTTATTTTAGATTAAAGTACAATATTGTGTATGTGCAATAGCTAATGATCATAGTGTTTCATTAATAAGTTTACGAGAACGTAAATTAATTCTATTAGCTAATCGACAATTATATCCTGTTGTTGGACTTCGTTGGAGAATAAATGATGAATTTTTACTTATAAAATGTTCCGATGGTAGTTTATTTATTTGGCAAATTGAAACAGGAAAACTTGATCGTGTTGAATATGGAATATTAGCTGAAGAATTATTTGAATGGTATAATGATCCGAAAATACTTAGTGCAAATATTGATCTTCAAAATGATCCATTATCAACAGCAATGGTATCTTCATATTATATTCAAATAAGATCAACTGGAAAACAAAAAGATTATGATCAAATTAAAAAATTAACTAGAAGATTCGGTATAAAAACAAATCCTTTTTTGAGATTCAAGAGTAAAAGAAAATACACATTAGAATCGATGATTTTCATTTCAGAATCCAATTATTGAAAGAACTTTATATTATTAATTCTTCTTAAAGCCAATCTATCTTTTGTTTGCTTCTTTCATTAGCTCATGAGTGAAGTCTTCCAAATAATAAATATATATCTTTTGAGTTGAATCTATGCATAAGATGTAGAATTAAATGAATACTATGAGAAAAGTTCGTGTCTGTAACGCATGTTGCTTCGAAGATACTGCATTTTGAAGGCATTTTGTGAAAGTCAGATATATTCTCGAAGAAAATAATAGTGAGTTCAAGTTTTAAGTCGAAGTTTTTTAGCTATCACCCTTACAGATGCGGATAATCAGGATTAAATAATTGATATTTGTAACAGCATTATTTATCATTTAGTTTAATGCTTAAAAAAAGGTTATGGGAAGTAACAGTGCAAAAGAATTATGAGCATAAACAATAAAGAGCGATTAACAACAAAGATGAATCATTATACGAAAAGAGCTATCCTATTTTAGAGATGTTCTAATGTCTTTTGAGTTACTATAGTTAACATAAAGGCGGTACGTGAATTCTACATTTTAGGCTGCACTAACAAGATTTTTAAAATGAATTTCATGGTCCCTTTCAAGAACATTAAATGGCAAAAAATAACTGATTATTAAATTTCGCTTAGAAACTTTCCATAGAAAAAACATGCTATTAACATAGTTGTATTTCAGAATAGAAAAGTCTCATTAGGGCCTGTCTCAGGGCAAAATCTTAAATCGAAATTCGAACATCGTTCTTTGTTCTGGTGTGTCCAAAGAAGAGCATGGTATTCACTTACATCATATAGAAAGAATTGTATATTGGCAGCAACAAATGAAGGGTTTGAATTCTAAACGTCAGGATCTAATTTGATATAGTGATGTCTCAATCAAAAGCCAAATTGTTTTTTTTTTTATTACTGTTTTGCATTGCTTCATTCGTAAAATCAACAAACTAAAAATTATATTTTTCATAAAGGTACTCCACGTTATGATTTAATGGGTATATCATCGTTTAAACGTTCACAATATCGTTTACCAATTGTAATTCAAAAATTTCATACAAATATAGGTGATGATTTGGGTTTACTTATTTTTTTCGATTTACTACAATTAATTAGTAAGTTAACTTGATTTCTAATATATAATTTAATTGATTACTCTACTAAATTAAGATTTATTTAAATTTATTGATCTGCTTACGCTAGGTCAAATCATTGTATGTTCGATTTTGAAAACAACACGCTTAAATAATCATAATGCTCATATATCTTTTTGTTTTCTTCTTAATATACTTTATCTTCTTCTACTTTTTATTAGAGCATATTGAATTAGCAAATAAAATTACTCGTTCACAATCTGATCAAATATTAACATCATTAATAAATTTATCAAATTTACTAGTTTCATTAATTCATCCATGGTATTTTGATAAAAATATTGATTATATGTGTCAAGAACGTCTTCGTTTTAATCATGTTCATCGATTTATATCTTATGGTATATTAAGTAAAAATGAACATTTAGCTATTGTTTTACCCACATGGCAACAATATTTAAATGATTATGCATCTGAAACATATTTACCGAATCTGGCTGCATTTATTTCATCTGCTGAAACTCAAATAGATAATGATGAAACATTAAAATAGTACGTATTTCAATTAATCTCATCTAAATATTACTAAAAAATATAACAACATTTTATTAAACACAATATTGTTGATATTTCTATCAGTAACTAATACAAAAATTTTATAGAAACTACGCAAAAGCTATTTACTTAGGGTGTACCAAAAGTTCTGATCACCATGTTTAAAAGACTCTTTCGATAAGGCATCCTATTCAAAAATGAGAAACCAAGTATACTATGTTGTAGAGTTTTTCGAGATGCATCTAATGGTATATAGTAAATTCTATTTTCATAAGACTCTGAAAGAATTAGAATCAATTTACTGATAGGCGACTACACATTCACACATGCATCCATCCATATTCACATCCACAAGATGATCGGAGATGCTACGCATATGAGATTGTAGTCCTTTAAAAGTTCTACAAAGTCATATGTGAGAAAAGGCATTTTACAAATATTTTTGATTAATAGCAAGGACAACAATATTCATTAATTTATCATTGTTGAGTATAGGTGCTAGTATGGATGCATGTGGATATGTAGTCGTCTATCAGTAAATTGATTCTAATTCTTTCAGAGTCTTATGAAAATAGAATTTACTACCCATGGTGTAAATTTCTGCGAAAAAAACGCGTTCTGAGAACGCATTTTTCCATAGCTGCAAAACGCGTTAATGCTGACCGGTTTGACGCGTTTCACATCTGCTAAAAGAAACGCTGTGTAACGATTGTTTTTGTGAAAGATTTTGCAGCGTTTCTCAAACTGTGGTATCATATATTCTAGATGGAAAAAAAACTGAAAACCGTCAATGACTTCATAGATCTTGAATTGCAGATACAATTTATATACTCGTTTACATTTTTTCATAGACCTTCAGAACTATAACTTACATGAATATTGATGCAGTCAAGACACAGATTCGAACACGAGATCATAGGAGTATAAGACATATATACAAACCGTTCAACTAAAATAATCTGATGATATAAATACTTATTCTACTGTCATTTAGAGTCTCGCGTGAACTTACTAAATTAGATTTTCAGTTTCCATTCTACTGAATTGAAAATTATTATTTCTTTGGTGCCCATGTCCAATTAATGTGGTCTTTTCTTGATACATTTTTTATTTAAACTCTTTCAGATTTAAATTTAGATACTCAATAGAACCGAATTTAATCGATTTAAACTATATTTAATATTTAAAAAATTAAATTTCTTATATATAAGTTTTAAAAAACTTAAAATTTAATCTTTTATTTATTTTCTTGATTTAATAGATTTTTGTAAATGTAAATCTGCCATTGTTTTCTCCAATTACATCAATAAATGAAGGGAGTTTTCTTTTGTAAGTCGAATCTCTTTTATTAAAAAGTCACTCTTACTTCAACAATGTACAAACTAAAATCATGTTTACTAGTATTGTACACAGTATCATTATTCATTATCAATTCGTTCGAGTATGAACTCATACTAATAATTATTCAAATTATAGATAACGTGATAATTATTTTGTTCACAAATAACCAAAGAGAGTTGCCATACTAATTATATTAGTATCAATCTTTACTAAATCTTTTCGAAATGCTCAATATTTAAAACGATTCTTCAGTAAACCTTACGAAACATGTTTTCTTTCAATAAAAACGTGGTGAAATGAGTTTTTAAGTAAGCAGAATATATTTTTGTTGCACGTTGATGTTTTACATTAGTCTAACTTCGAAATAAGTCTAGCTAACAGCCTAGCAGCCTAAAAATTTAGAAGACTTTGATTTTAGTCTTGCCTTCATAAAATCCTTGGTCAGGATTTTCACGTAAAAATAGTGCAAGGAGCAAAACTTTAAGTGCTATTTCATATCATTTCCAAAGTAATTTTAAAGAATTTACTTTGGTTAACTCATATGCTTTGTGTTGGTGAATTTCTGCAGGATTCTGTATGCAGAACGGATATATTTTGCATCATTCCAAGCAAAAACAATCCAACATATATTTGAAAAAGGAACCCGTTCCACCTTTCCCTCAATTTGTACCTGCGAAACGCGTCGCCTGTCGACCAAAATGCGTTCGACAGCATTTGAATTCAGAAACGCCTCGAAACGCAATCTTGAAAAAAGCGTTTCGGATCGTTTCAAAAAACGACGGTGGCAAAACGCATTTTATGTAAGTAAGAATGCTGCGAAACGCGTCCTGTATTGAAAAAACGTTGCGAAACGCATGCTACAATCTCGGAAACGCGTTACGCGGTCCGTTTCCTTCAATATTTTACTCCATGGGTATATACTACTCGATGCATCTCGAAAAACTCTACAACATGGTGTATTTGGTTTCTCATTTTTGAATAGGAAACCTTATCGAAAAAGTCTTTTAAATATGATGATCAGAACTTTTGGTACACCCTAAGTAAAGCTACTCTTAAATAAATTCTGGATAACATACTGATTCGTTTGTCAGTCAAGTATGAAGATCAGTAGAAACTTTACAGCGTTATGTTGGAATTAGGATTTTGCTCACAACTCCACTACATGTTTAGAATATTTATGAGATAGACAGATTGAGAATTATGAACGAATCTTTTATAAGTTTGCAAAAATAAAATTTGAACGGACCTCAATAAATCAAAAACAAATAATCAAAGTCAAAAGCAATATTTATTGACAAAATACTAACAGAAAGAGCAACTTTTTCTTTATGATGAAAATAAGAAAACGCTTCATATGTCATATCGAATGTTTATTTTGTGACTACAACTCTACTTGAATTACATTAACCAAATAAGTCTAACTTTTGACAACTTTCTACTCATTTTTCAAAAAGTTAATCTCTGATAAGATATGCATTATATTTGTCTAATAATTGAGTTAAAATCCAGGTTTTTTTTTCAGACAAAATCTCTAGAAAATTATACGTGTTGGAGAAGCGAAATGTTATTTGATAACTTTCTTAAATTGAGAGTTTAGATTAAATGTTCTAATACAAATTTGCAGAAAATTGAAAGAGAAATATTTTCGAGACTACGCATAAACTTTTATGATAGAAAATGGCCTAGAAAAAACACGAAATACAAACTGTACCATTATTGTTACATCGATACTATTTAATGAAATACGATTTAAATTGAATGTTGAAGTGTAAGGATCAAAATTTGCAATCTATCCAACAGACCGTAATAGCTGAAACCATACAAACATCATAGATTTGATAATCATAATATGTTGTCATAATATATAAACTACTTCCTTATTAAATTGTTGAAGAATTAGGTACAATGATAGTAACGTGTATCTACTGATCAGGAGATTATTCCAAGATAAGTCAATTTTGAGAGAAATATTATTTTTCTGATTAAGAAAATCAGTCGAATAAAATCTATAGCCTTGAACATTAAATTTGAATTCTAAGTATATCGGTTTTAATTCTCAAGACAAATCTATTGAAAAATAGGGATTAAAATTTATGTTTATAATCATTTTAGCAAACAAGAACGAATTGACACTTATGTATATCAATGGCGATGGAAATATTCTACAATTCTGAATACCGAACATTTATTAAGTTCAATAACATTGGTCTGTACTTTAATGAATTGTAACCATTGGATAACTAATATGTAAGTTCATACTTTTTCATTAAATATTGTTAACTACTATATATTTATTCTATATATAGATCAAATAATCAAGATAAAGAAGCACTTGTAAATAGAGAAATAATTTTTAATAAATTTGTCTTTGTCTATAGAAAATAATTTTTAGTTAATACAACGAGAAAGTTGGAGTAAATTATTAGAATTTTATTGTTCAGATATGCTTCAACAATGTCAAACGAATATTTTTCAATCATTATCAATTGAAATTTTATGTTCACATTGGCAAGATTTATGTTTAGAAGTATACTTAGAAATAAATTTACTTATCTTATTTCTATTCTTTTTCTTTCTCTTTTCAAAAAAAAAAGTTACGTGATGCTGCTAGAAAATTATTAGAAAAAGAACTTGATCATTTACATAACGATAATGATGCATGGTATATACTGATTTCGAAATGGTCGAATTTATTTCATCAGTCATATAATAAAGAAAATGATGGAGCTTTACATGATCCAAATATTCAAGATATACTTCTTGATGATACAGCTTGTAAGAAATATTGAAAATAAAAATATTTATTAATTAATTTTTTTGCTTACTTTAAGATAATAATGACACAACGACAACAATAATAATGAAAGAAGAATATAAAAGACAACAATTACTATCTATTATTTTTATGGGTATTATCTGTGCACGATATGAACAAGAAGTTGAACATGCAAAACAATCATCAGTTACGATTAAAGGATTTTCAGTTGAAAGTCCAGAAATAATTTTAAATTTGAGTAAGAGATTATTCAAAATATGATAGAATATTTCAGTCGAATTTCGAATATAATATTAATTCTTGAAGAATTATTTTTTATTTAACCAAACATATGTATATATATGAATATCGTTCATCTGTTGTGTTAGGATTTTCTTTTGAAATTTCTTGAAGAAAGAAAAATGACAACAAAAAAAAACCGAATTCCCCCCTACGCAATAACAAAGAACTGTTATAAAACTTCACATACTAAATGATATTATATCGGAATTTTATAATAAATATGATAAACAAAAGTTGATGAAAATGAGAGATATCAAAAGAAAATGATCGACGTAGATAATCATTTTTTTTAATGAGAAATAGGATTGGAATCTCGTGTTGTATTTTAGTACTCAATAATACAAGAAATAAGAGATTGATATTACGAAGAAGCATGATTATGCTATAGGTTATAATGATCTTTTTCGAAATCTATCTGTTATTCTCCATTATATGTTATAAAAGTCTTTATTAATGTAACTATTGCTGATTTTAGGTCATATTCTAGCAAGTCTTTTATCTCCATCTAATTTTGATCACATTCCATTGCACACTGCTATACGTCGAACAGCAATCGATCTTATCGGTCGTGGTTATACTACATGGGAATCCTATTTAGATATTGGACAAGTACTACTAGCATTATTTGATTTATGTTCTATTAGTGATACTTCAACAATGACAAGCAAGTAAGTTGTTTAATTTCTGATAATGAATCTTTGAACGAGAACAATGATTTGAGGTAATCTAATGTTTATATGAGCAAGTAGTGTTAATATCGAAGGTGCTGAGATTACTTGCTTTGTTTTTCATTAGAGATTTTGTTGCTTAACACCATATGCATCTATTGTTTTTTTTAATGTTATCTTTATTTTATCTTTGTATTGAAAATAATAATCTTTGTTCTAGGGTACATGGTGAAATATTATCACCAAAAACTGATACTTGTTTAACAGCGCAAACAGCCCTTTATTTAATTGCAACGTCTCGTTCACGTGTAGTTATAACGACACTTGCCCGTGAAATAGCAAAACATGCTCTTGTACAATCTGGAACAACATCATCACCAACATCAATAACAGTTAAAAATGAACATAAACCTGAAATACTTCGTCTTATTCAAATTCTTATTGAAAAATGTCCACAAGATATTGAAGACTTAATTCTTGAAGTAGTGTAGAACACACGAATAAACACAAATTATTTTTTTTTTGTTTTACTTATAGGTTATTGATATTACTCTGAATTGTATCGATTTGAATATTCTTCGACAGAAAGGTGTTCCAGCTGTATCAGAAACATTTGGATTATTATTAAAGTATGAAAAAATAAAGACGAGAGTTTTGATTATTTTCTTTTTTACGGTAATATCGATTCATTTGACTTTTTACAGTGCGAGTAAAATAGGCCGAATCTGACAATTAATCCTATGCAATACGTTTAAGTCTTGCAAAAAAAATACGTAGGCGACTTATTTTGATTATCAACGGATAATCGATAAATAATTAGTTGTACTGTTTAAAGGTTCAAAACTTACTCGTGTGATTAGAACTGGAGAAAAAACCTGTCAGCGCAGCCCTATGTGACTGAAATGTGAAACTTACATATGCTCTCAAATCTCATTACACTAATATAAAATACGTAAAGTCAAAAAATATCCCTTCGACTAGTGTTTTCTAGAATAATCGATCACTAGAGCAAAGATCTCACTAAATTCTTCATTTCTAACAAAGAG